AAATATCAACAAATATATATAAAGAATCTATATAAAGAAGCAGCGATAGAAAAAGTGGAAATCCAATGACGAGAAATAGTAGATGAACGAATCGCTTGTTTCGAAGAACAAATTCAATCCAGCGAATCAACGGATCACTGTTTTTTTTATATTTAATAATAATCCTAGAATATTTGAACAGCAGGAACGAATAGAAGAGACAACTGCCTTTCTAAATACTAAAAATTATATAACTATATTTGGACAGACAATTATTCTCGCTAATATTTTATTTTCAAACTCTCATTTGTCAGCGTTCGCAAGTACAAGTCACATATCATTTAAATATGTGATAAAATATCATTTCACATTTTGATAGACTTTCATCTTAAAGAGAATTTATAATTCAAGATGATGATGTAGGCAAATGTGTGAGATGAGGTGACTAAGACTATGATTTGATTACTTCATTCAAAGAATTTTAAGCGAAGCATATTAATTTCTCGCCGATTGTTTTTCCAATTATTCAAAATCAAGTTCAATTAAATTCCTTTTTAGTTTATCCAAAAAATTTATATTATATATATATTTATATTATATTTATATTATCAAATTTAAATTATATTGTATTTCAAAATTGTCATCAGAGAAAAAAGGGATCGATCTTAGCGTTAGCTGCCGAAATTGAAAGATCAAATGACTTTTGTTGATTATCTTTCAGAAACGCGGGATAAATTAAAAACCACATCTCAATTTGTTACATCATTGATCAATGAAAAAATTAAAAAATTTTTTTTCTCAGAGGCTTCGTATTTGTAAGGACTATTATTATTAGAGTTCTGAAGATGGAAGCTGTCCAGATTATATCTCGAGAACTAAAATACAAATCTATTTTTATTTTTGTATTACAAGATGAAAAAGTAATAAGATAAAAAAAAAAGCAAGAAAGAAACAATAAAGTTACATGTTGGATATACAGCAAGAATTTCTAGAAAGATTGTTATAAAAAAAAGAAAAATCAGAAATCGAATATAAAGAAAGAATCTCCGGCTTCGATTCCTATTGTCCTCATTGTATTGAAAATAAATCCATCTTTAAAGTTATCGATTGTCGATCGAAATATCGACAATAAAAAAATTAAAATAATTATTAATATGAGATCAAGTTTAAATCTATTAAAAACAGATTATGAAAATAGATTTTAGTGTAGCGAATTTATGAATCGAAAATGTTTTTTTGATTTCTAGAAAAAAATATTATATATATATAAAAATTATAGAAATTTAATTATATTAAAATATAAAAATTATAATAATTTTTTTATTAAAAATTGGAAATTTCAAGAGTAGAAAAGAGTTTCTATTTAGAATTTTTAATCAAATGAATAAAAGAGGATTGTTTTTTAGGTACTAATTTAAAAAACATAAATGTCAATTAGATATTTTAACCGGAAATGTTTATCAATGCAAAAAAATTATTTTCCAAAAAGAAAAAAAAAAGAAAAAAGAATTCAAAAACGAAGAGAAGAACAATGAATAAAAAAAATTCCTGAGTATTTATAGAAATTTTATAAACTTTATAAATCGATATTAAACTTCGTTTAATCGATATAATTTTGAATGACAATATGTTCCACACAATAGCTGTCATACTTATAATATATAACTCATAAGAAGACTCGATCACACGGTCAAAAGCATGTAATTTCCTAATCATGATTCGCTCATAATCTGCAGATAATCATAATTGAATTTTATTTCATTATATTCTCAAGAATTTGATGTATTAGTAACAAATTATCATGATATTTAGTAATATAAAATTATAATTTATTGAATATAAAATTATATGAAAAAATCTTTTTTTATATAATTGTAATATTTTTTGTCTAAAGAGTTATTTGCACTTCTATATAAAATTTGAATTACTGTGTATCATGTTGTTTTCGTTTTCCAAAATTAATCTAAAAATATTCTATCAATTTATTATTATTTATTATTATATCTTGTACATATTTATGTATTTTTTATAATTATTACAACATTCGAAATTGATAAAAATTTTTGTAATAATTATTTTCTTTTATCTTTGTTTAATTTAATTTTTTTTTCATTTATTTTTGAAACTGATCATAGATTATGTATATTATTTGTATATTTTATGTTTATATTTATCAAAAAATTATAAAACTATGAATAATTTTAAAATTCATGTTTCATATTATGCGATTGCTTTATCATTTACTATCATTTTATTTTTTACTCTAAAATCTATAATATAAATCTATAATAGTCTTATAATAAATCTATAATTTATAATATAAATCTATAATATATATATATTACATATATATTATCCTATTAATTTTTTTCTTCGAGTTTATTTTTAATTATTTCATAAAATAAAATTTAATATATATGATTTAATTTATAATTAGATAGATATATGATAATTGTAATAATATATAATAATATAAATACTAATATATTCATTTTTAAATATATAAAGTTAATAAATACATACATATATGGAGTTGATTGTAAAACAAACATATATATATATATGTATAGAAATATCGGTTAAACTTATTTATTAGGTTATAAGCAATTGATTATAAGCAAATTTAAATAAAACGAAAAGAATCAAGTGCAAATTTTAAATGCTTATAATTTAATAAATGTAATCTTAATCGATATTTGTATAAATTTAATGTTTATTTTAACTTCTAAAATCGATTTCTAAAAATATTCTGAAATTAACATCTTGTAAATAAGTAGATATTAAACATAATAACAATTACTTGAAATAATTTTTCTATTTTATACATATTATTATAATAATATTATACATATATTAAAGAGTCATATTGAAGCATCATATAAAAAGAATTTATATTGCATGCAAATCTTTTATATCTACAAAATGTTCTCAAGTATTCGTATTAATTATATTGTTAAATAATAATATGAACAAAAATATAAGATATTTTACATATTTATATATTTCGTATATTTGAAACAAAAAAAAATGTATATTTTAAATTTATAGATTCCACGTTATTTCTAAAAAAAATATAAATTTATAAAACAATAAAAAAGTTGGAGAAAAAATATAAATATGAGATTTTGATCGATAAAATTAAAAAATATATTTTCTATTCTTATTTTCTTATTTTATCTTAGTTATTTGATTACAGTTATTTGATTATTTGATTATAAAAGTAAATATAAAAACTTTTTATTTATGAATAATATTAGTTTTATAAAAATAAATTTTCGCGTTTTACAAATTATTTGGAAGAATATGAAGAAAACTAAAAGATAAATTGTTGAAAAAGCAAGAATACATATTATACAAATTTAAAAAACGTTCGTAATATAACATGACAATATATATCGTAATACAACAAAATATATTAAATGAAAAAATTATATTTCTATGATTTAAGGAAAGAAAAACTATGTTTAAATCGATGTTGATAATTGTGGGAAAACAAATAATTTCATATATCAAGCGTGTGAATAACAATAAACACATTAAGTAGATAAATAATTAAATAAATATGCATTTCATATTAAAGATGATGATTTCATTTTTTAGAAAAATAATGTTATTATCGCAAAAGTTACTTACAGCAATTCTTTAATTCAAAAGATATGAAAATTTAAAAATAACTAATTCATTCATCATCAATCTAATTATTAAAAATATTTTGTATAACTTAAGAAATATTTAAAGTAAAAAGCAACTCAATAATATTAATAAATTAAAAGAAAATATAATAAAAAAATTAAAATGCATTATCTAAATAATAATAGAATATTGACACTTTTTTATGTACTCTATTATACGTTAACTCTTTTATTATATATATAATATAAGATTTGAAAATATACTCATTTTCATTATTATATACAACATAAAATGTAATTTTTTTCTTTGAAATATACGAAATATATAAATAGATAGAATTATATTATATTATATTTTTATTCAATACTATACATAAAACTAAAAATAAATATTTTAAATTTTGAAATGAATTATTTAATGAAATAATTTTCACAAACAGTATAGAAAAGTTTTTTTTGATATTTTTTGATTTTTCAAATCAAATCTAAAACTTCTTTTGCGTATATATATAGTATTCTTCGTTAAACTATGCAAATTTAATGATAGTTGATCAATAATTTTAAATTCATGTTATGTATGATAACAGCTATCTAAATAATGATTCTATTTTAAAAAAAATGCAAAAGAAGATCTTTTACAATTATTAGAAGCAATTTATTAGAATCTTTTAAAAATTTTTAAATAATTAATACATAAACTGTTTAATTTAAGATAAAAAAAGTACATTGTTTTTTGCAATAATTATAAATTATAATATTTAATAAATTAAATTATAATATTTATATATTTCATTTTATATGTTTTAATTTATGTATAGCTAATAATAGAATTATTATTATCATTAAAAACTAAGCAAACATAGAAATATAAGATAATAATATATCTTATACATAAATATTATATAAAAATTAATTAA